GGAAGCTAATGGGGAATGCATATGTGCCACTTCTTCTGTAAAGGAGGAGCCTGGGAAAGGTAGGGGGAGCTAAAGAGGGTTTCGAATATGCCACTTCTTTTTTTTTTTTTTTTTTTTTTTATGAATTTTTATTTATTTTTTTGTTACAGATATTTTACCTTTTTACCCCATTGGCACCCCCCACCCCCCCCCCTCCACCCTGTCCCCGGCTTAGTTGTCCATGTCCATTGGTCATGCATACATGCATATAAGTTCTGTGGTTTATCTCTTCCCACCCCCCCACACCCCATCCCCTCTTCTGAGGGATGTCAGTCTGTGCCCTACTTCCATGTGTCTGGGTCTACTGTATTCCTCAGACTGTTATGTTCATTATATTCCGTATATAAGTGAGATCATGTGGTATTTGTCTTTTTCTGCTTGGCTTCTTTCACTTAGGATAATACTTTCCAGGTCCCTCCATGTCGTCTCAAAGGATAAGAGATCTTTCTTTCTTACCGCTGCATAGTACTCCATTGTGTATATGTACCACAGCTTTTTGATCCATTCGTCTACTGGTGGACACTTGGGCTGTTTCCAGATCTTAGCTATTGTAAATAGTGCTGCTATGAACATGGGGGTACATATATTCTTCCTGATTGGTGTTTCAGGCTTCTTAGGGTATATTCCCAGCAGTGGGATCACTGGGTCAAATGGAAGTTCAATTTTTAATTTTTTGAGGTAACACCATATTGTTTTCCATAGCGGCTGCACCAGTCTGCATTCCCACCAGCAGTGTATTAGAGTTCCCTTTTCTCCACACCCTCGCCAACACTTGTTTGATGATTTGTTGATGGCGGCCATTCTGACAGGTGTGAGGTGATACCTCATTGTTGTTTTAATTTGCATCTCTCGGATGATTAGTGATGTTGAGCATTTCTTCATATGTCTCTTGGCCATTTGTATGTCCTGTTTGGAGAGGTGTCTATTCAGCTCCTCTGCCCATTTTTTAATTGGGTTCTTTGTCTTCCTTTTGTGGAGTTGTATGAGCTCTCTGTATATATTGGAAATTAACCCCTTATCTGATACATCATTGGCAATGATGTTCTCCCATACAGTGGGTTGCCTTTCCATTTTGATGATCGTTTCTTTTGCTGTGCAGAAGCTTTTTAGTTTGATGTAGTCCCATGTGTTCATTTTCTCCTTTATTTCTGTTGCCTTAGGTGATGTATCCGTGAAAATTCTGCTCCGTATGATGTCCGAAATTTTGTTGCCTACATTTTCTTCTAGAATTTTTATGGATTCACGGGTCACATTTAAGTCTTTTATCCATTTTGAGTTTATTTTTGTGTATGGTGTAAGTTGATGGTCGAGTTTCATTTTTTTGCATGTAGCTGTCCAATTTTCCCAACACCATTTATTAAAGAGGCTGTCTTTACTCCACTGTATGCTCTTGCCACCTTTGTCAAATATTAATTGAGCGTATTGCCTTGGGTCCATTTCTGGGTTTTCAGTTCTGTTCCACTGGTCTATATGCCTGTTCTTGTGCCAGTACCAGGCTGTTTTGGTTACAGTTGCTTTGTAGTATAACCTGATATCTGGTAATGTGATCCCTCCAACTTTGTTCTTCTTTTTCAAGATTGCTGTGGCTATTCGGGGTCTTTTTTGGTTCCATATGAACTTTTGAAGTATTTGTTCTAGTTCTATGAAATATGTCGTTGGTATTTTGATGGGGATTGCATTGAATCTATAGATTGCTTTGGGTAGTATGGACATTTTAATTATGTTAATTCTTCCAATCCATGAACAGGGTATGTTCTTCCACTTTTTTATATCTTCCTCTATTTCTTTTTTCAATGACCTGTAGTTTTCTGCAAATAGGTCCTTTACTTCTTTGGTTAAGTTTATTCCTAGGTATCGTAATTTTTTTGGAGCGATGGTAAATGGGATTGTTTTTTCAGTTTCTCTTTCTGTGAGTTCATCATTGATGTACAAGAATGCCGTCGATTTCTTGACGTTAATTTTGTATCCTGCTACTTTGCCAAATTCATTTATTAAGTCTAATAGATTTTTGATAGAGTCTTTAGGGTTTTCTATGTACAATATCATGTCATCTGCAAATAATGACAGTTTCACTTCCTCCTTTCCAATTTGGATCCCTTTTATTTTTTCTTCATGTCTGATTGCTGTGGCTAAGACTTCCAGTACAATGTTAAACAAGAGTGGCGAAAGTGGACATCCCTGTCTTGTTCCTGTTCTTAATGGAAATGTTTTTAGTTTCTGTCCATTGAGTATGATGTTGGCTGTAGGTCTTTCATATATGGCCTTTATTATGTCGAAATATGATCCCTCTATTCCTACATTGCTGAGCGTTTTTATCAGAAATGGATGCTGGATTTTGTCGAATGCTTTTTCCGAATATGCCACTTCTTAAGTTTCCTCCCCTTGGTTGGGTGCTATCTCTCTTCAAACAGGAATTTGTAGATTTATGGCAGGTGGTGCCGAGCAGCCTTCTCCCCCAGAACAGGCTGCTCTAAACTGTGAAAAAGGCTAGATAAGAAGCGAAAATATGGGACTTTATTTATATACTCTAAGAAAACAGAGAGTTAGTTGTAGCCTTGAGAGAATGTTGAATATATAACCTTTATCACTTAATTAAAATGTTAAATTATGGTTACAAAAGTATAAGACAAATGACTGAATGAGAACAGGCCTTCAGTGAGACAACTCTGGTTGAACTTTAATTCTGCCACTTATTAATTTTGTGACCTTGGTCAAATTAGTCAACCTTTTTGAAACTCAGTTTTCTCATTTTAAAGTTGTCCTACCCTGAGTGAGATGATGTATGAAAAGTGATTTTTAACCCCTAATGTGCTCTGCAGGTATAATGTTTTGTAACCTGCTGTTTGCATTTTGGTATCTTTACTACGTTGTAGAGAGAGAAGTAAAGAGAATTCAGAATTTTTGATGAAACAAACTTAGTGAAAATGCTGATAGATAAGCTGTTTAAAAATTTCACAAATGAAGATAGAATGGACATGATAAACATTTATGGATATGATATACTTTTTTTTAACACATTTTTTTTTTTTTTTTTTTTTTGCATGTGCCCCTAACGGAAACCGAACCCGGGACTCTCTGGTCCACAGACCGATGCTCCAACCACTGAGCCAAACCGGCCAGGCTACTTTTTGATAATTTATGTTTTAAACTTTTCTGTTTATTGAATATACATACATATAATAGTAATATCTATGTACATTTTTTTTCTATGTACATTTTGAATAATAATAATCACCAATACACATATCACCAAGTTTAAAAAATAAGACATTTTAGGCTGCTCTATGTTACTTTCACTTTAAACTCTTTAAATAAAAAATTAAAAAAACTAGTCTGGCTGGTGTGGTTCAGTGCACCAAGTGGTTGCTAGTTTAATTCTCAGTCAGGGCACATGCCCAGATTGTGAGCCCAGTCCCCAGTGGGGGGCATGCAGGAGGTGACCAATCGATGTTCTCTCTCATCGATGTTCCTATCTCTCTATCCCTCTCCCTTCCTCTCTCTCTAAAAATCAATCAATAAATTAAAAAAAGCTAGAACATTTAAAATAATAATAGTAATAATCACCCATGTATATATCCCAACTTAGCAAATAGAACAGTGCATATCTTTTCTTTAAACTAATCAAAAAACATAACTTTAAGTACCTTCTATATGCTAATGCTGCCAATTTTAAATATGTAATCTCGAGTTCTCTCCTGAACTCCAGATTTGTCTATCTAACTGCGTATCTGATATCTCCACTTATATGTCTAATAGACATCTCAGACTGGACATCTCTAAAACGGAACTCCTGATTTCTAATCTTTCCCATTCATTCCTCTGTATGATTCTTTATCTTAATTAATAGCAGCTCTATCTTTTCAGTTGCTTAGGCTGAAAACTTGGAGTTTTGATTCCTTCTTCCCCCTCATACCTACAATAGGTTCAGGAGAGCCTGTTGACAATTCATTAAAAATACATCTAGAATCTCACTTGTCAACACCCCATCTGTTAACCTAGTCCAAGCTATTGCTATCTCTTTCTAGATTATTGCTTTACTAACTGGTATCTCTGTTTCTGTTGTTTCCTCTACTATAATATTATTTTCAGCGGCTTGAGTGATCTTGTTAAAACTAAGTCAGATAATGTTATTGCTCTGCTCAAGACATTCCAGTGCTCTACACAGCATGCTGTACACTGCTGACCCCAGGAATGCTCTCATCTCTTCTTTGACTACTGTCCTCTTTGTTCATTCTCCTCCAGCCACACTGACATCTGCTGTTCCTCAAACAAGCTTGTTGGCTTTCAGAATTTCTACCTTTATGCTGGAGGCTTCTGATCTGAACTCCTTTTCTTCTTGATGCCCAGGGCTTTCTGAGCTCTTCCTTGCCCCTGTATACCTTGACTCTAGGCCATCAGGCATGAAGTGATACCCTGAAGCAAATGCCTGTTTAGAATTCTGGTTACTCTTCTCCTTTTGAACTTTCCCCTGTCCCCACTCCGATTTTTTATTTTTGCAAGGACTTTCTTTTCTCTGCTACCAATTCAATTATTCATTTAAAATATTATATTTTATTCAGCATTTTTATTTTATTTTTCATTCTCACCCAAGGACACGTTTACATTTATCTTCAGATAGAACAGGAGGGAGAGAGGGGGAAAGAGAGTGAGAGAAAGTGAGAAACATCAACATGAAAGACACACATCGACTGGCTGCCACCCACACAACCCCAACTGAGGCCGGGGACAAACTGCAACCGAGGTACATGCCCTTAGTGAGAACTGAACCCGGGACTCTGTGGTCCACAGGCTGATGCTCTAACCGCTGAGCCAAACCATCCAGGGCTTATTCAGCACTTTTAGATGGCGTCTTTGCCAGCTATTTTGCCACGACTCAAAGTCTGATGAATTGTTATTAACTAATGAAGTGAGATCATTAATTTCTCAAAATAATTTTGTGTGTTTTTTTTCTTGGATTAAAGGATGGAAGACTCCAGACAGGGGACCATATCTTGAAGATTGGTGACACAGATGTGCAGGGAATGAGCAGTGAGCAAGTTGCACACGTGCTGAGAAACTGTGGGAACTCAGTCAGGATGCTGGTTGCAAGAGACCCAACTGGTGAAATTTCTGTAGCCCCTCCAACCCCTGCAGCCTTACCTGTTGCCCTGCCTGCTGTACCTAACAGGATACCTAGTTCTGTGAGTGCACAAATAATTCTTTCATCTTAAATCAAATATTGGGTGTGATACACTCTAAGATTAGAAACGCCTTCGACTTGAAATGCCACGTTGGTGTGGGCAGTGTCTCAATGCCCACCAGTGAAGCAGCAGGAGAGCACCATTTGGAGACATTAGACAGATTTGATTTACATTTCTGCTGTTTCTCAAGGTTAAGTCATTCAACCTCTGAGCCTCAGGTACTCATCTGTAAACTGGAGAATAATAATTCTTGCCATCCCTATGTCATTAGATTGGTGAGGAGACATCCAGATGGTGGAGCAGAAACTGTAAAAGTTGATCAATGTGTAAGAGTTGTCACTGATAGGATCAGATTGGTCAGAGGGATAGACAATAATAATATGTGTTATGATTAATAATATTCATTATAATTATATAATAATCATTATTATTAATTGTTATCAAGTACCTGGAATTGTTTACAGAATTCTTTTACAGAAATATCTTAAATTAGAAGACAAGTGATGAAAATAAGTTTTAGGTCAATATTTTTTGCTCACAGTGATTATTACAATAATTAGTCTTACCTGTTGTTTCTAAATTTTAATTTACGTTTAGTTCTTTCAGATAGAAATTAATCCTGTGTTGTTTTTTTCAAGTGGCTGTATTGGTTTTCTATTATTGTGTAACAAGTTACCACAGACCTAGTGGCTTGAAACAATACCCTCGGTTAGTTCACAGTTCTGTAGGTCAGAAGTCGGGGTGGGCGTGGTGGGGCTCTCTCCTTAAATATTTACAAGACCGAAATCAAGGTGTGGCCTGGCTGAGTTCTAAATTTGGATGCTCTGGGACCATTCATTTCCAAACTCATTTAGATTATTGACACAGTATAGTTTTTTGCAGTTGTAGACTGAAGTCTCTCTTTGCTGGCTGTCAGCTAAGGACAGCTTTCAGCTCCTTAAAGCCCCCGATATTCCTTTTCACATGACCCACTCCATCTTCAAACCACAAGTTCAGTGGTTATACTTCAACTTATTTTCACTTCCTTTTCTGCCTCCAGCAGGAGAAAACTCCGCTTTGAAGGGTGCTTTATAGATTAGGCTCACCTGGATAATCTCCCATTTGCCATGTAATGTGACAAATACAGGAATAGCACCAGGGACCCAGAGTCAGGACTGTCTTAGAATTCTGCCTATCATGGGTGCTAAGAAAATACTTGACTAGCCATGCACAAATTTACTGTGTACACACAGTTATATGACTAAATATTATGTATAATTAAAATTATTTTTTCTTTTTAGGACAATTCTACACTTTATGAAACTTACACTGTTGAACTCATTAAAAAAGATGGACAGAGTCTTGGGATTAGAATTGTTGGCTATGTAGGAGCTGCTCGCACAGGTAAATATTTGGAAATAGTTGTAAAGGATGTTAAGGTTTCCAGACAGTGAAATTAAATATCTGTAGATTTTAATGTAAATGTTGAACAATAAAACTGTTACCAGACAGGATCACGGCCCAGAGTGGGTCTGCCTCGGGCTGGCCGGTAGTGTGTGCATTCTTGACTTGGTGCAGAAAAGATTTCACAGTATGAGTCTAGGTGATTTTGAGAATACATTTATGAAAGCTGGGGATCATGAAACAAGGAAGGGCCTAGGGTAGGAGAAGCCACAGGAGAGAGCCTGGGAGGGGCTGCTTTGGTTCTCTAGAAACTTTATGGGAAAGAGGGAGCCAAGGTGGGACTGCTGTCGGCTCACTGGAAGGCATGGGAAAGGGGGCCTTGGAGACAGGTTCTGGGGTTAGCCCAAGATGAGCTGCCGCTGCCCGTTGCTCCCCTGGTTGCAAGTCTCGGGGGGATGCTTAAGGGTTAGGAGAAGGAAAATTCACTCGAAAAGGAGGTTCAAGTGAGTGTGCCCCAAGAAGGGCTCGAGTTGACTTCTTTGTCTTGAGGGGTTTTATCTACTTTCTGAAGGTGGGGATTTTAGGGCCTGTCTCAGAGGAGATCTTAATAGAATATTTATTAGCTTTCCCAGGTGTGCTCTTTGCCAGGTCATGGTCTCCACTGTTGGGTCAGCACCAGAAAAGGGGGTCATTAGTTATCGCAGCAGGTCCTAGCATCGCCTGCCCGGTTTTGCTGCTTTTCTGAGCCTGGAGAAGAAATACAACCGAGGCCTAGATGTTATCTCTAGGGTGGAATGCTCAGGGGAGGGTCCGAACTGCATGACCAACGATATGAAAGATCAGGTGGTATAAACCGCATGACCAGTGATAAGCCAGGGGAGGAAAGGCCACCCTGGGGGTGAGGTCCAGCATCGGTTTTGCCCGTTGCTAGGCAAAACTTTCTGCCCTGGTGACCTTCTGTATCTGACTGTAAATTACTCGGCCAGTTTGTTCAACTGTCTGTCTCAGTTTCCCCATTCCACTTGCCAAAGAATGTTCCTGGCTTCTTGCCAGCCTGTCTCAAAACCATGCATCTATAATAGCAACAAGTTGCTTTTCAGTAATTAGAGAATCACAATTTAAAAGGATTCCCAGACCCAATTCCCACAAGCAATTCTCGGATGCCAACAGGATATCTGAGAATTCACCTGAGTTCTGGCACTAGCTACCCAGAGATAGAATCAGATTCCACAGGTGAAGGGCTCAGTCTCACAAGACCACACTCTATTTCAGACACCAGTTGCAAGCCTAGGCCATCACCTGTACTATAAATCAGAGGTTCCCATGACCCCCTCTTTGGGTTTAATTAATTAGCTAGAATGACTCAAGAAAACCTGTTTACTCACTGGATGACTGATTTATTACCAAGGATATTAAGGCATATGAATAAAAAACCAGATGAAACAATACACAGGGTGAGGTCCTGAAAGAAGGAGCTTCTGTCCTTGTGGAGCTTGGGGCCCAGCATGGTGGCCCCTGGAAGTGTTCTTCCCCAGTGGGAAAACTCCCTGGAAAAGAACCAACAGAGCTGTCCTCCTGGGTTTTTATGGAGGCTTCATTGCATAATGATTGAGAAAGTCATAGGCCCGTGGTGACTGACCTCATCTCCAGGCCCTTTACCCTTTTAGCTTGGGGCTGAAAGTTCCAAACCTTTATAATCACAGGCTGGTTCCTCTGGCAACCAGCCTCCAGCCTTAAGTGCTTTCCAAAAGTCATCTCATGAAGATAACAAAAAGATTGTTATCACTCTCAAAACTTAGGAAATTCGAAGGGTTTGGGGAGCTATCATTATTATCATAATTAGGTAGTAAATATTAATAAAGGAAAGAAAGCAAAGGGAAGTCGTACTTTGTAAGCATGGTCACCTGGGAAGCTTCACCGGGAAGCTACAGCTTCATGCAGTATTGTTCCTCCAAAGGGATTAACATCCCTCCCTTCCCCCATCCAGTACTGGATTGTTGTGGGGAGAAGGGGGACATAGGCACATGCACAGTAGAAGTCTGGGGTGGCACAGGGGAGGTGCTTGCCTGTCAGTCTAGCCCTGGGAACAATGAATTGACTAGGGCGTGGGCCCATCAGCAGCATGCAAAATCTTGGAAACTTTATTGGTTAGTGTGAAGCTTCTGGTTAAAATCCCCAGACAAAGAGTTTCCTCTTTCTTGTTCTCTCTTGCTCCGTGACCTGCACACACCTGTGCGTTGACGTTTTCTCTCTCCATAGCCATGTGACCTTAGCAGCTGCATGGCCTATGGCCATGCAGACTTTACATGCAGGATGCTGGACTGGACTGGACTTTAATATGGAGCAGAAACTGTGGGCGGTGGCTTTATTCTGGCCAGTTGGAGTTTTTTCTTTGTGGGATGGAGAGAAATGGGACATTGGAAAGCCAGGGGTTTATTTCCACCCAAATAAATATTACCTATCCTCCTATGTGAGTCTTAGGAAATTATTTTCCTTGTGACATTGCAAGAACTCCACTTCTGTTGATAACACTATGAGCCAGGAACTGTGGATAAAGACCAAATATCTTATATATCACAATACCACACGGTTTTATCACAATAATTTTATAGTTGTTTTGATAATCATTAACAACAGAATTTAATTTTTCAACTCCGAGTGTAACATTTGAATTGTATTTCCTCTTATTTCTGAGATAGATATATGTTGAATAGCATGACTCTTAATATATTAGGACAATTTACATGAAATAAAGTAAAATAATTACTGCATATATTTCATATTATGAATGTAAAAAAAGCATTACTATTATGTATAAATACCAAAAAAATAAAAATAAAACAAATACTTTAATTAAAATGGTTTTCCTTTCATATAAAGGGAATACACTGTAAGAATAAATACATGACCATGGCAGGGTAGCTTAGTTGGTTAGAGTGTCATCCTGATACACCAAGATTGTGGGTTTGATCCCCAGTTGGGGCACATACAAAAGTCAAACAATGAATGCATGGATGGTGGAAAAACAAATCAGTGTTTCTCTCTTTCTAAAATCAATAAATAAAATTTTTAAAAAAGAATAAATACATGGCCCAAGTATCTCTGAATAATAATACTCCCTCAACTCCTACATGGAAAGCTTTGGTAACTTTCATTGTAAGAATTACTCTATTATAAGACAATTATTAGATTAAGGAAAAATAAACCTTTCACAGATATTTGCTAGTAACATGAAAATTCAGGGTTATAAAATGTTCTCGCTTTTTAAAAAATAGCAAGGTTAGAGAGTTAATTTTTTAAAATTATTATTTTGTATACTTACAGCAGGTGGAAAGATTAAAAGTGCTAATTTATTCAAAGTCCTGAATGAAATTCATGTCAGACCACCTTGTGCTATTTTAGCCCAATGGAATAACTATTTTCAAAACTTTAGCTTTTTCTAAGTGCCACCTTTTTTAGGTTCAGAATTTAAATGAGTTCCAAAAGAGCTAAGTATGGCTTGTATAATAATGTTGGGGAAAAAACCCCAAAACCTGTAGCTCTTAATATGCTGTCTAGAGAAATCATGGCTTAGTTCCTAAACTTTTGGCTTATGAACCTCTATTATCTGAAATTTTCACAGTGTTTTTGTAAACCTCACAATATCTATGCAGAGTACAATGAAGGTGAATGACAGAAAATTGATATAATTTCATATTTATGTTACTGAATAAAGAAAAGAATAATTTTACTTCTTTACCCTCAAAAGAACTTTTTTGGGGGGTTGGGGGGTGGGTAATACTGAATTCAAACACTAGAACATTTTAAAACTCACTATGGTTTTTAACATGTAATTTTCAAAAATAGTTCTTTATTCCATTCAATGGAACTTTTGAGCAATTACTTTGCTTAGTTCCGGAGGAGGTAGAATAATGAATATAAGCAAAATCTATTTAGGGAGACAAACGTGTAAATAACTTCAAGTGTTCAATGAAATGAAGTAAGTTTTAGCAGAGATGCAAACAAACTATCATGGTGGATGGAAGAGTCAATTGGATAGAGGACAATGGGGAATTTACAAAGAAACACATTTGTGCTAGGCATAGGCAAAGAGAAGGATTTGATACAAGGGGTGAGGTTGGCAAGAAAAAAATAAAATGAGAAAAGGTCTAAAATCAAGAAAATACTTGGAGTTTTGGTGGAAATCAAGAGTCTTGTGCATCTGGAGTTTTGTTGGAAGGATGAGGTAAACTAAAGTAAAAAAAAGAAGAAGTTTAGGGCAGATTATGGAGGTCCTTGATTGTGATTCTGTGAAATTTACTTTTTGTTATGTAGGTGATGAAAATCCATTGTTCGTTTTTGCAGGGAATATTTTAAATTCATTTGATGTTGAAAAATAAAAATATAAAATCATCCAGAGCTATGGTTTTTTATTTTCCAATTTCCCTTCAAATCCTTGCTCATAAGCATGCATAATTTTTACATAGCTATAATTTTTGTATAGCCATTTTTCCTTTTTAAATGTTTTATAACACAAGGATTATTTCATGTTGCTGAGATTATTCTAGTGTTTTAAGACTGTGTGTACCTCTCTCTCTTCTGCGTTTGGGGAAGCTAACATGAATAGTGAACGAAGACCTCTTAGGAGACTGCTGTCATAGTACTGGTGAAAAATTATAAAGGCTATGCTGAGACAATGGTGAGCAGGGTGGCAGACCAAGAGAAGAGAGTAAGACTTAATCTGGGCTCTTTGAATTCCAGCTTATATTGGAGTGCATTTCATCAAGGTTCCATTGCTATTATTTTTCCAGAAGTAATCGTCAAATTATTTCAAATTCAGGTCACTTGTGACGGTGACAGTTTGAAATAATCCATCAGTTTCTCTGCTTGTGTTCAAAATAGTATTTATCAAGCCTTCAGTCAGCAGTCAGCTCCCTTAGCTAATTAACCTTGTGATATGAATTTTGCAATCAAGGCCTAATTAGAGCTTTCTTCCCTTTTCCGTGTTTTGTGCACCTTAGGGGAAGCTTCAGGAATTTATGTGAAAAGTGTAATACCTGGCAGCGCTGCATACCACAATGGGCAAATCCAAGTGAATGACAAGATAGTCGCTGTGAGTAACTGCCCTCTGTATTAGGACTGGATCAAGGTGGGAATAAAAAGTTATCTTTATTATAACATGTGTGAGAGGGGAATGGCTTAATATAGTCTCAAGATATTTAAAAAAATTAAATTTGTTAGTGCAGTGAAATCTCATTAATTTGCATTCTTATGGTCCTGATTTTGATTTTATTTTTTTAACTATCTGTGAAGAAAGGAGTCACTAACCATACTAAATACATACATATTTGAAAGGTGCTCTATCTAGCATTCTTCTAGAAAATACGTTTCAAGCACCTCTTTGTGTTCCTTGAACTTACCCATTTATAAAATTAATAGGCCATTTACCAGATCTTTTTATTTCTTTGTGAAAGTAGTTTTTCTACTCATAGTAATTTTGAGTACATACAAAATTGAGATGTTTTATATATCTGAGAGTATAATAATTACCTTTTATCAATTCAGATTGGCCTTTGCTCCATTTAGTAGAAAATTAAATTTGCAGTTTATTTTAATAATGTTGAAGTATATATACACACACACATATATACAAATATTTAATTTAGTGATTTATGTGGAAACACATATTTGTTTGTGTAATTTGAGTTTTTATCTTTCAAGTCCATCACAGGAAGCGCTTTTCAATACTCTTGGCTTTTTATATTATTGGGCTTAGGAACTGTCTTGCAATTTGCAGAGTGTGGAGACCAGCAATAGTAGTGGGTGCTATGGAGAAAATACTTATGGGGAAAGCAGAAGCAATGATTTGTACGGCTTGTAGAAGATGGAAAGAGGAGGTCTTTTCATCCTGATGGGCTTTAGAAATGTGGAATCGGACTTTTCTTGCATATACTTTTTCAGAACACTAGAAGACATAATGGAGAGAGATCAGTGTATTTCTTCTGGAAAATATCGCATGTTGATATGGTAGAGGGATGAAATATTGCATGATCTCTTCAATTTTGATATAATGGCTTCTATTAATGCCTCTTGGGGGTTATGTCTGACAGTTGACTATTTTTTATGGCACTTTGAATTTTGAATAGCATCAGAAAATCAGACCCTTTACCTCTTAGGCTATAAGTTAAAATGTGTGACTTAGGAGTACATGTTTGAATTTACTTTCTAGCATCTCAGGAAGTTTGTCAGCATGTTTTACTACTTAATTGTGTGTCCTTATTCAAATACTTTCTTAGGTCTAATACAAATTATTTTTGGAATAAAATTAATTGCCCAATTTAATTCTGCCTTGAAAGAATTTAAAATAGTAGCTAACTGCCCTGGCTGGTTTGACTCAGCAGTTAGAGCATCAGCCATTGGGCCAAAGAGTCATGGGTTCAAGTAGTCTAGGGAACGTACCTTGGTTGCAATTCAGTCCCTGGCCCTGGTTGGGGTTGTGCCCAGGGCAACCAAACGATGTTTCTCTCTCTCTTTCTCTTCCTCTCTCTGCCTCCCTCCCTCCCTCCCTCCCACTCTATCTGAAAATCAATGGAAATATATCCTCGGGTGAGGATTAAAAATAATAATAATAATAAAATAGTAGCTAACTTGAAACCTAATGTGTTTTAGGTGGATGGTGTGAATATCCAGGGTTTCGCCAACCAGGATGTTGTTGAAGTATTACGAAATGCAGGGCAAGTGGTACAACTAACCTTAGTTCGAAGGAAGACATCCTCACCCGCTTTTCCATTTGCTGAACAACCTCCACTTGCTGAACAGCCTCCACTTGTCGAACAGCCTCCACTTGTTGAACAGCCTTCAGACACAGGTAATGGATTCCACTGTCCCTCTCCCCACCACGTATTCTGGGTTTGGAAGAATATCTCATTTCTGGACATTGCTCTGGGATCCTGGGAAGGAAAAACTACCCACCTTGTGTAATGCAGTAATGGAGAAATGAATCAGCTCATTTGCACACGGAAGAGCTTCCTTTGCAATATGCAGTGCAAATGTTAGGACGTGGACCCTGACTCGCGTTAGGCTCCGAGAGCTTCTCTGAATGGAAATGGAAATCATTTTCCCCAAAAGCTTCCTAACTTCATTTATTACTTATGTTTGAACAATAAAGCTTTGACACCTTTTGTTCAGGAGCTCTCATTCGTCTAATGCTTTGACACTTTACAAACTCTGGTTTCATTTTATTTCCAGTGGTAGACTTGATCCTCATGTCCCATGATTTACCTTTTGAAATACAGCAAGAGAAAATAAAACCCAAATTTCTCTCAAGAACATTTTTATTTGCCGAATAATATTTTTTTTATTAGAGCAATTCTACATTTTCATTATGGAACAGAAACATAACTATATGCTTGTCAGTTTTTAATTAGCAACTTATAAACGTACAGATTAACAAACTTTGACAATCATGGGGACACATTCAATTGAAAACAAATGACTATATAACTAGTAATTCTGACAGAATTATAGAAATAATTCTATTAGAATCTATCAGGAGATGAATATAATTTTTTCCCTTCCTCTAAAGATATAATAAGACTGGAAGCCTTTCCTTTCAGCTGATATCGATTGGTATTAAGTTGGAACTTTTTAAGTTTTATGTGATAGTGGAAATTTTGCTGCTGAAAGACGATGTCCTGTCAACTGTACTGTATGTATGAAATTTAAAATTGCCTAAAGAGTACAAATTGTACAAATGTTAGATTTACTTAAAAGGTTTACATAAATATTTATATCAATATAATGGTTTTAATAGCTCTGACAGAGCCCTTGGCTTCAGTGCGGTATATCAGATGAATTATGTCATCTGTGAATTAGTGATTCTTTACTGGGCATGCCTACATTTTGCATTTTGCTAGGATAAGTTTTGGTTCTAAATCTGCACCTCTTCCTCCATGGTTTGGGTGTCCTTCCTGTGTGTTTCACTTGCACCCTTTGAAGCGCACTTTACTGTAGAATTTATCACACTCCCTTGTAATCGGTTGTTTCTGTGTGGTCACTGGAGAAGATAGAGTGACCATGCCTTTGCCCTCTGGCCTATGGAACGAGGCTTGGTGTGCCTTCACACAGCAGTTAAGACTATTTTACTGACACACACTGCACAGCTTCCCGCTCCTGCACAATGCCTTCCTCTGGCACTCTACACCTTCCCTTTTCTCCTCTAAACACCTACATTTGTATACCTTATATACAGGGGTGGGCAAAAGTAGGTTTACAGTTTACGCATGCAAAAACAGTTTATTCTTATTTATTAATTATATTGTATTATTTAGTTGTATTATTTGTCTTTTTCTTAAATCCTCACCTGAGGATATTTTTCTATTTATCTTCAGATAGGGTAGGGGTTGGGGGGGAGAGAAAGAGAGAGAGAGCATGAGTGAGAGAGAGAGAGAGAGCACGCGCGAGGGAGAGAGAGAGCAAAATCTATGTGAGAGAGACATATCCACTGGTTGCCTCCTGCACGACCCCATCCAGAGCCGGGGATTGAACTGCAACTGAGGCACATACCCTTGACTGGAACTGAACTCTCGACTCTTTGGTTCATGGGTCGACGCTGTAACTGCTGAGCTAAACCAGCTAGGGCTATTTGTCTTCTTTTCTTATTCTTATTGTTATTATTTTATATCCTTACTTATGATTTATCTTTTAGATGATGATGGCTGGTAATTTAATCTACTTTTGCCCACCTCTGTGTAATTATTTGTGTACTTATTTGTATATGTTTTGTAGCACACAGTAACATCATTGTACTGCTTTGCACTATAAATTCTGGTGTGTAACTATTCTCTCTGTGATGCTAGGAGCTTCTGGCTGGCATTTCTTTCACTAGCACTGGGCTGTGTTTAGTGTGCAGTAATGGATTCATGATCTAAAATATCCTATGTGTAATTTAAAGTGTCATGAAAATCACAGGAACTTTTAACTGGTTATCTTTTTCAATTATTTTTTATAAAAAATTTTCAAGCATACATAAATATTGAAAAATATTATACCAAATACCCACCATTTAGATTCAGCAACTATCATTTTGCACACTTTTATCTATTTACGTTTTTTTCCTGAGCCATTTCAGATTGAGTGGTAGACATTATGACACTTCAGCCCTACATATTTGAGTCTATAGCTTTAAAATGAAGGATATTTTCTTAGATAAACATAATGTCTGATCAAACCAAAGAAAATTAATAGTAATTCCCCAATATCAAACACTCAATACATAGTTAAATTTTCCTATTGTCCCTAAATATCTTTTGTAGCTTTTCTTCTTGCCCTACCCCCCTCCAAATCCCATTAAATCAAGATGTAATAATGCATTGCACTTATTGCATGTGTTATGCTTCTTTGGTTTCTTAATCAAGACTCCTCCACCCTAGCCCCAGGACATAGACTTTAAAAAAATATATCTTTTTATTGATTTTTTTAGAAAGAGAGGAAGGGAAAAAGTGAGAGAGAGAGGAACATCCATGAGGGAGAAACATCAACATCAATCATCCGCCTCCTACATGCTCCCCATTGGGGATTGAGCCCATAACCCAGGCATGTGCCCTGACTAGGAATCGAACCAGTTACCTTTTGGTGCATGGGACAAAACTCAACCTACTGAGCCACACCAACCACACCAACCAGGCAGGGTATAGATTTTTAACGGATTAATTTGTTTGTCATTAGAATGCTACATTCTGGATTTGATAGTTTCCTTGTGGTATCATTTAACTTGTTTCTCTACCCACTGTTTCCTAGAAGCTAGATCTAAAGCTTTACTTAGATTGAAAATATACTTAAATATATTTTGTAAGAATACTTTTTGTATAAGTGATTATTTAAAAATGACTCGTTAAACCTTTTTTTGTGTTTAAGAGATAAATAACGATTTGAATGTTTGAGGTTGAAAGCCGTTTGAGATGGAAAGCGTTAGATATCCTATTACTATGCTTAGCTAAGGGAAGAACTTCTGCAACCAGAGGAATGCTCTCCAATTCCCTTCCAATTCATAATGTCACCTGTGTAGATTGTTGTACAGTCGTCCCTCACCACTTCACACTTCAATTTTCGCGGCTTCACTTTAACCGCGACAGAGCAAAGCCACAAATGTCGAAGCACAAGTGACGAGGGATGACTGTATAAATAAAGAACCCTACTTCGCGGAAATTCATTTATCACGGTAGAGTCTGGAACTGATTGACCACGATAAACGAGGGCCTACTGTACTCATGATGATGTCATGCCAGAACCTAGGAGAGCCCAGGACAATGGGACCAGCTTATTTTTCAGGTCTTGTTCTCTACCCACCACAACAGCAGGAGCCCAATCATGAGTGCTCTTTTCCTTTTCCAAGGCTACGGTGAAAAGCCTCTACTCCTGCTTTGACATTTTCTTTACCTTGCTTTTCTCCTCCCACTGCCTAGTTCCTTATTCTTTTCGATACTACCAACATGTTTATTTTTTAGGGAATTGATTGGTTATCACACCTAAGATTTTAAATAAAGGATTCATATTTGTCAGTTACCTGAGATGTTTGTAATGAGGTTGTGAAACGGTAGAACAGGAGTGGAATAAGCTCACGGAAACATGGTCTTTAGCTGCTAGTGATTCAAGTGTGCAATTCTTATTTCAGGAACTATTGTAGAACCACCGAAACCACCAGCCCCCTTCTTAACTGGAGCAGTGGAAACGGAAACTAATTTGGATGGTGAAGACGAGGAAACTGAAGAAAGAATGGACAATCTAAAAAACGATAACATACAAAACTTAGAAAAACTGGGTAGGCAAAAAGCATTCAATTGAAAGCAAAGACATTTGACTTTCTCATTTGTTCACCATTTTTTCTCTTTATAGTTAGTATAATGTGAGGAGCTGTGGAGGCATTTTGGCGACACAAAATAGAGTTTCTTAATATCATTACCTTAAAACTTGTGGCAGTTGGGAACCAAGCATATGGCTATTTAATCTTTGATTATATTAATTCTGAATGTATTTTTATTAGTATGTGATGACTATTTTTAATCTTGTCAGCGTTTTAAATTACTGCATACTTTCGCTTGGATATTATTGATAGCTATAGATATATAGCTATCTGTGTACAGATATCAGTATTTCCTTTTCACCATAAAAATTAATAATGTATACTTTTTTATTTCATGAAATTGCCAGGTAGCTATATATTTGTCTTTTACTTTTCTTTTTAACTGATCTGCAACTTTGTTCTTTTACTTTGTACTTTGATAACTCAGCTACTGTAGTTGACTCTGTTCTGCAAATATGTTGAATAACAGTCATATACAATCTCCTGCACAAAGGTGCTCAGGAAAGCCTTGTGAGCTGAATGAAATGAAATACTTAACATCATTCATGTTCCAGAGAAATTTTGGCTTTTACCTTTGTTTGTTTTCTCTCGAGAAAGAATGGCCTGAAGGAAGGGGTAACCCTTCATTCAGCTTAAATTTTTTTCTATGATTTGGAAATTTACCTTGTTCTTTTTGACCCAAGTAAATTGCAGTTAGTCTTTGCTGTTTTAGTGAACCCAGATAGATTTTCAGTGAACTCTCAGGTGAAAATCAAATACATTATGAAGTTAGAAATACTTGTAGAAATATTTTATCTTCTCTTTTTGGATCCATCTTACTATATATTTTTTTCATGGATATGCATAACTTCAACTCGAGAGTTAGACCAAAATATTCTAACAGCTATGAAGTTAGCCTTCTTTTTTGCTGCAGAGGTAAACAAAGTTTTCCTTCTTCCCTTCTTCGCTGTTTGGCTGGCTAAATAATTAAATTGACATAAGACAGAAGATTTCATATGTGGGGTAGCCCCATAAAAATATGAGACCCAAGGACAAATTGGGCAATTGAGGTTTGTATGCCATTCTGAGCTAAGGAATGGGCTAGGGGCCTGGGCTTCAAAGAGGGAGGGAGGATAAATCACAGGACTTTACGGAAGGCAGATGTTTGGTAATTAAAGTTTGCCCTGCCAAACCGGTAGGTCTTTCAGATAAAAATGTTGTCTCTGGCAATAGCTCTTCTGGGCCAGGCCCCTTCTTTAAATTCTTTTAGGTAGTTAAGGGAGAGGTAAAATGTTTTTCTGAGTCTGCTGGGTCTTAATTACCTTCAGCTCAAAATAACCTGCAATGTCAAAGCGTTGTATTTTTGGGTGGTATATTCTCCCCTTCATTGCCGTTGAAATAATAATTTCAGGTCATCATACTATTTTTTTTTTTTTTTTTAATCATTTTGTGTAGCCCAGGTTTTGTTGAGCTGCTGAAAAGAAATTAATCTCTTTCCTCTGGTACTTAGACTTTGTGCTGTGCTTTAAAGCTCATGACTGTCTGTGCTTTCATTACATGACTGAAAGGTAAAATATGGTCAAAAGCATTGAAGGGGAAATGGCAGCACTGTTTTATACATGTTTATGAAATATCGTCTTAAAATATCATGTTTTTAAGCTTATAATTCAACCAAGACATTGCAAATGTTGTTCAAATTAGCTCATCAAATATGAAACTGCTGTCTGAAAGAAGTTTAACAGGCAGGATGGTAGAACTCTTACTGTAATGTCTTATGGAAATGTTAACAGCAGTACGCACAAAGGTGCAGAGTCCACACGAATGACATTTTGATTTTAAAAGGACCTAACAGTTATTTCATGGATATTCTTTTGTAAATCTAGTCATTTAAATTCTTTCGTGTTCATTAGTCTGTCTCTGGTTTCTGAGGTTAGCCTGTTTTACTTAATTATTATGTAATTAAGTTTTACGTATTAAAATATTGTTACTATGTTTTATGTAATTAAGCATTATGTGCATCCAGGATGAGCCATCTGTGCTAAAGGGCAATAGAGCTGATATTGCAAGTTATGTTTTATTTTATTTTTTTATTTTTTAAAATATTTTTTCTTTATTTATTTTAGAGAGAGAAGAAGGGAGAGGGAGAGAGAGATAGAGACATCGATGAGAGAGAACATCGATTGGCTGCCTCCTGCATGCTCCCCACTGGAGAAAGGGCCCACAACCTGAGCATGTGCCCTGATCTGGAATCAAACTGGCATCCTCCTGGTGTATGGGTCGACCCTCAACCACTGAGTCACACCGGCCACGCTATGTTTGACTTTAGACAGTTATGTCAGTTGTGATAAGTGTTCTGTGACTTGTCTTATCTTGTGACAAAAAGAGTTTACCTTCACCTTAAAGAAGAAAGGTGGAGGTTTGTTTATTATCTGCTACTACTGTAGATGTAGTTGGAAATTATAGTTTTAGTGCTTTGACTTTTGCCTAGTAGGCATTATTCAGACTATAAACTGTACACTAAGCTTCAGGCTAAGCTCATATGAAAGACAAGCAGGTCAGTTAAAATCTGTCTTAGCTCTTTAAAACGATCTTACGTATGCGAAAAAGGCAATATTACCATCAAGTAAGAAAATCTTAAAGATATAATGAAGCCACAAAGACCAAAGTAAAACCAAAGTTTCTATTATATTAAATCTCATGTATTCAATGATTGAATTAAAACCAGACATGCATTATATCCATCCAAGTGAAAAGTCTGAATGGATTATGTTGATATGCTTAGTTGATAAAAATAGCTTGGTCCATTTTTACTTTTCCTGTGGGTGAGTGGAAGGTACTACTCTGAAGTAATTAACATTTAAATTAAATCCTGGTTTGTCCTAACATAAACTGTATATAATTCAAATTTCATTTATAACTCATCATTCTCTCTTCTCTTTATAGTATTCCTTAACAACAAAAGCCCTTTCATAATTTGGTCATACCAGTCTTTACATTTTACATTAGTCTTATAGGGTCCCTCTGATTTACTTTACCTAGTAGACTTAATTTAATGCATTTTCATTGTATTTATTTCCATTTTACTTACTGAAACTGCTCTTACTGAAGAATTAAGTAGTTAAATGTGTTTGGCTCACAGTAGCTTCAACATCCTTTTTGTGTGTGTGTGTTTCTTTTTTAATCCAGAAAGAGCCCCTGACTTTCCAGAAAATGAGCTGAAATCCAGATGGCAAAACCTATTGGGTCCTGATTATGAAGTAATGGTATGTTAAAATCTTTAAATAAAAAACACTCATGTCTCATTTCATGTCAAGCCCTTAACACTACAATTTAAAGAAATGGGAGTGTCAAGGAGTGGTCAGCCTGCCCTTACTTTTCCCTCCTGTCTTTCTTTCCCATTCAATCAATCAATCAATCAATTTATTTATTTTAGCATTTTAAGCTATAAGAACAAGTAAGGACTGCACACAAGTTTTAGTTACAATGAACAGACCCTCATGTTGAAACCATTGAACTCGACAATAGGCAGAAAAATGTTAGGAAGGAGAGGGTTTGCCTTTAAATTTATAACGTGTCTCAGCTGCTTAAAATTGCTGGCATTTTTATGATTGCTTTTATGATCTGTTTGTTTTATTGTACACTGAAAGGGCTGTGGATATTAGTCCTATGTTTCACAAAGAATCTTACAGTTTTATGAGAAAAATGAAAGAATGATTATCAAATGTATTTGAGAGAACAGGAAGTAATTTAGGTTAGGTATAAGTTTATAGTGCCAGTGGTCCATTAGACTTCCTTTCACCTGTTATTAGATTCATTGAGTAAGGGATTGATTACATTTCCCCATATGAAGCCACATGAAAGCAAAAGGCTGTGCTTAGAAAAGCCTCTACAGTGTTCACTAAATGCCTCCATAATAAAATATTCTATTAAATTTCTATTGTCATTAACATTTTCTTACATATGTTTATCATTAGTACTTGTTGGCTGGTTGGAGATATTTTTTTTTCTCTACTTGGTTCAGCATATACAGCCACTATCTAGTGGCAGAAATTTTTCAGTGTCATTTGGATGAGTCAAAACAGTTCATACTTCTCGTTAATTTTGTACTTGCCTATCAGTCCTCAGGAACTATTGCTTCTACACTTCATAGATTTCGAATGTTATTTTGTCATTAGGCTATCAACTAGCAAATGACCTGTTCTATCTTTTATGCTTTGATATCCAAAGTAATTTGGTGTATCAGTATTTATAAATGGCCAGTTTTGTGATGGGCTCTTTTTTTGTTAAAATGTTATCCTCCTCATGACTACCTTTCCAGATATCATCGATTACATGGAGAGGTTATAACAGAAGGGCTAGAAAGAGGGAACAGAATTTTAAGTTGGAAGCTTCATTAAGAGTTGTAACTTGTTCCAAGGAATGAGGAGCAGAAAGGAGAAGCCAGGCGAGATGAAGGACAACACACATGCATGTACTCCAGGGTTTAACATTTTATTTTCTTCCAGCATCTACTTATCTGCACTACTTTTAAAAGCTTCAGTTGGATCATTGTTTAACTTATCTCCTCCCTCCAGATATGCACCATATTTTATTAACAACTTACAGATGCAAGTCATCAGTAAAGTATTTTGCTTGTAAGCCATTCATTTCTGTGAATGTCCACCATTGGAGCATCGAACAATGGTTATAGGCCAGGATTAAAAGCTTTAAGTATTCCGTGAGCTTCCTACCAGTCCAGATCTTTCTGTTTGTGTCCTTGCCAGCTATTTCTCCTAGGGAAATGGCTTGAGCTTGCTGTGGAAAGTCAGACACATCAGTTTTTCCACACTTGTCTGACTTCTCTGACCTTGCAAACTTTGTTTTAAGGCCGGAATTTAAAAGTAAAAAATGGTCAGACGCTTGTTTTTCTCAAAAGAATGAAAAATTTTTATGGATCCAATATAATGGAGGATTATATTAAAATTTTAGGGGCCATGGATTTTTAAAAATAGTATATGTATTTGCCCATCACCTTCTGGTTCAAGTTTTAAATAACTTAGGAAAAAAGAGTTTTGTGGAGGACAGGAGAAAAACAAATATTCTCTGAAATTTACATTAGGTGTTATACTTGTGGAGTTCAGAAATATAGAAAAGAGATTAGAATGCAGGCCTGATGCATTCTTTCAGATGGAACATATAGCTTTTACAGATTTTTGTCGGGAAACCGAGGAAGAAATAAAGTTATGCTTTTACAAATATTGGATTCTTTTTCTTGCAAATTTAGATTGCTACTTTGGACACTCAGATTGCAGATGATGCTGAATTACAGAAATATTCAAAGGTAAGCATTATTATTTTTTTTTTAGTTACCAGTTTTTTGTTGTTGGAAGAATTTTCTCTACGTTCTTATTGAAGAAACTAAATTTGTGCTGTAACCTAAAGTTCCCAGAATTTAGTCTTAGATGTTTTCTGGAAATGTGGTGAGTTCTCACTTATGAAAGGTGATGGTTAACTATGCCTGGGAAGAACATGGGGTCCCTGGTACCACTTCCCAGAAAGCCAAAAACTCAGATTTGACTGCTTTGCCTGCCTTAAAGGTAGTACACAGAGTAACATTGTGCAAAGTGTGTGTAAGCTTTTCAGATTTTATAAGAAGGCCTTTTAAAGGTTTTCTAAATATCAAGACCACAAATACAGACTTTAAAAAAATCCTTCGGGTCCAGATGTTTAAGGACAGAAAAGTGGTTTATCTTCTGAGTATAAGCAATGTTTTTTCTTGAATTTAAAAAATTTTTATAGTGAGAGCTTTATTTCTAATGGCAAAATGCCAGAAGGTAACTTTTACAGTTTTTAGTGTCCTCTCACTACAAATTAATTTTATAGTTCCTGTTCTGGATAATCAACAGCCAGGGAATTGAAACTTAGAAAAGCCTTCTAGGTGGCTTTCTGAAGAAATGATGAGAAAGGTAAGGTTTCTTGTCAGAACAGTTTCAAAAATTATGCTGTAATTCCACACAGGGTGTAGGAGCTGAGCCCAGCTTAAGCTCTCCTGTCACACGTGTATGTAATGGGCTGTCGAGTCGGCTCCAGCTCCTGGTGACTCTGTGAATGAGTGGTGTGCACAGTGTCCTGTCCTCAGCAGCCCAGCTCAGTTCCTGTATCTTCATGCCTCTTATGGAGTCCATCTATCTCATTGTTGGTCTTCCTCTTTTCCTACTGTCTTCTGTTGTTCCCAACATTGTTTTGTTTTTGAAAGAACCCTGCCTTTTTATGATGTGTCTGAAGTAGGATAGCTTCAGTTTTGTCATTTTTGTCTCCAGGGAAGCTTTAGGCTCAATCAGCTCTAGGGCCCACCTGTTCATCTTTCTGGCTGTCCAGGGTGTCTGTAGACTCTCTTCCAACACCATATTTCAAATGAATCCATTTTTTTCTATCCGCCTTCTTCACTGTCCAACTTTCACATCCATACATAGTAATTGGGAACACAAGGGTGTAGGTGATCTGACCCTTGGTCTCTAATGACACATCTTTGCTCTTGTGATCCTTCCCAATTCTTTCTGTGCTGCCCTTTTGAGTCTCAGCCTTCTCTTGATTTCTTGGCTGCAGTCTCCATTTGAATTGATGACAATCAAAGTCAGCAAGATCTTTAACAATTTCAATGTCTATATTGTCTATATGTCTAAAGTTGTGTCTTTTTCTTGTGTTCGTGATGTTCACATGCAATCCTGTTTGGGCACTTTCTTCTTTCACTTTCATCAGAAGTCATTTCACATCATTGCTTCTTTCTGCCAATGAGATGTTATCACCTGCATATCTTAAGTTATAGATATTTCTTCCACCAATTTTCACTTCTCCTCCCTCTGAGTCTAGCCCAGTCTTTCATATGATACGTTCTGTGTACAAATTAACCAGGTAGGGAGATCAGAGGCACCCTTGTCTGACATCTTTACCTACAGGAAACCATTCTGTCTCTCCACATTTGGTCCATAATACAGGTTACACCTCAGGACAATAAGTGCTGAGGCACACCTGTTTCTTTCAGAGCAACCCACAGGTTTTCAAGGTCAGTGCAACCAAAGGGCTTATGTAAAGCATAGACCAACCTTCTTCCAAAATTCTTTGGAGTGCTCCAGTATCCAGCAAATGCTTGCAGTCAGGTTTTGAGTGTCTCTTCCTTTTCTGATGGTAGCATGACCATCTGGCATTTCTCCCGCCGTGTAAGTAGAGCTGCATCACCTTGGGCGTTGCTTTCCTTGCGTGAGAAATCAGAGCAGTGGTCCTGTAGCTACAGCACTCCTTGGCATCTCCCTTCTTGAAGACTGGGATGTACATGGAACATTTCCAGTCTGTAAGCCATTGTTTCATTTTTCTTATTTGTTGACATATCCTGGTTAGGGTTATGACAGAGTTTGTCTCTGTAGCTTGAAATAATTCTATCGGTGTCCCATCTACCCCTGGTGATTTATTTCTTCCATTATTTATTTATTTCATGCTGTCACATGCAGTATTCAAAACAAGTTTTCTGTGTCCCCTGTGGGTTTTGTAAGAAGTTATTTCTTTAAATAGTTCTACCATTTCTTCTTTTGAGTATTTGTGAATGAATACTTCTCTCCCATCATTTTATGTTAAATGTACTGTCACATTTTAGGTTTGAATTTTCAAGGCCGACACTGTGGGGAGGATTTCTTTCCTTCTAAGATAACCTGCATTTTCAGTTACCTCCCTGCGGTGCCTGTGTGGGCCAGGTGGCCACGCTTCCCTCAGATGTGCAATGGGAAGCAACAGGGTACAACTTCTTGTTTTAAATTATTTACAAAATCATCCTTATAACTGATTAGAATTGTCACTAATTACTAATTTCATCTCAGTAGATTGAGAGAAATTTAATTCAACTTGAGAGTAAGAAATATAAATACTTCACCAAACTTCGATTGTTATTCATTACTGTAGTATAGTTTACTGATTACATTGACTCTGGACCCATATGGCCCGAGTTCAAATTCGAGTTTATCCACTCACTAGCTTGTAAAATTACCTAAATTGTATGTCTCAGTTTTGTTGTCTGTAAAAGGGAGATAGTAATAGTTTAGTATCTACCTCATGGGATCTATAGGGATTAAATATAATGTGCCTAGAGTAGTCGCAAGCACATAGTAGGCTGTTATTCTTACCATTCACATAAATGAATGATAGTTTCCCCTAAAACTGTACTTTAATTTATACTAAACTTTTAGATATTGGATATCTTTTATTTAACTGTCTTCCAGTTTACTAAATTTCCTGTGCCTAATTTGCTGCTAAAGCCCATTTATTGAGTCCTTAAATTTATAGTTTTCTATTCTAAAATTTGCTTCATTTCCTTTTAGATTATAATTCTTGGGGTGGAATTCTCAATTTTAAAATATCTGTATATGACATCTTTTTCTCTGTTTCTTGCACACATTAATCATAGTTTATAAGGACTTTAAATAGTTCTATTATCTGGATCAACATTAGACGTGTTTCTACTGTTAGATATTTTCTCTGGTTGTGGTCATTTGGTTGTATCTCTGATCATGCTATAATTTGATTGAATGCCCAACATTGTGTATGCCAACTACAGAAGCCTTCGGGTGATGTTATTTCTGTCCAATAAGGAGAGGGAGGGCCCTGACCGGTTTGGCTCAGCGGTTAGAGCATCGGCCTGCGGTCCGGAGAGACCCGGTTCCCGCTAAGGGCATGTACCTCGGTTGCAGTTTGTCCCTGGCCCTGGTTGGTTGTGCGGGTGGCAGCCACTCGATGTGTCCCTTTCATGTCGATGTTACTCTCTCTCTCTTCCTCTCTCTCCCTCCCACTCTATCTGTACAAAAAATGGAAAAATGTCCTCGGGTGAGGATAAAAAAAAAAAAAAGGAGAGGGAGGGAGGGAGGAGAGAGAGAGAGGAGAGAGAGAGAGAGAGAGAGAGATGGGGGTGGGTGATCATATCTGAGACAAGGCAGAATTCTAGTTTTGGTAAGGTTCAGACTATATCTTGTTTGCCTTTACTCCTAAGACATAGCCTTCTAGGTACCCCACATGAGCCTGGGGGTATTTACCAGTCCCCTCTCCCTGCTGAGAGCTGATCTCCATTTTTAGATCCTTAGTATTTTGGGCCTCTGAAATCTTTGCTTTGCTCTTCAGTGGTTTCCTGATTAGCTATTCTTCTTCTTCTTCTTCTTCTTATTATTATTATTAATTTGTTTTTGTTACATATGTTTCTCTTTTTCCCCCCATTGACACCCTCCTCCCCATCCCTTCTACCCCATCCCCAGCTTTGTTGTCTATGTCCATTGGTCATGCATACATGCATATAAGTTCTGTGGTTTATCTCTCTCCCCCCAACCCTCCTCCTCTGAGGTTTGTCAGTCTGTACCCCACCTCTATGTCTCTGGGTCAGTTTGTTTAGTTCACTACATTCCACAAATAAGTGAGATCATGTGATATTTGTCTTTCTCTGTTTGGCTTGTTTCACTTAGCATAATACTCTCTAGGTCCCTCCATGTCATCTCAAAGGATAAGAGATCTTTCTTTCTTACAGCTGCATAGTATTTCATTGTGTATATGTACCACAGTTTTTTTATCCACTCATCTACTGATGGACACTTGGGTTGTTTCCAGATCTTAGCTATTATAAATAGTGCTGCTATGAACATAGGGGTACAAATATTCTTTCTGACTGGTGTTTCAGGTTTCTTAGGGTATATTCCTAGAAGTGGGATCACTGGGTCAAGTGGCAGTTTAATTTTTAAATTTTTGAGGTAACTCCATAGTGTTTTCCACAGTGGCTGCACCAGTCTGCATTCCCACCAGCAGTGTATTAGAGTCCCCTTTTCTCCACACCGTCGCCAACACTTGTTGTTTGATGATTTGTTGATGGTGGCCATTCTGGCAGGTGTGAGGTCCTGATTAGCTTTTTAGCCTCCCTTCCCATTTTAGCATTGGAACTCAAGAGGTCCTTGGTGAAGAACCTGGCTCCGCTCAGGCTCAGTTTATCATGTAGTTCAGCTTTAGTTGTCTGTCCTCCCTGTTCAAAGCTATAAGACCTTATATCATCATATTCTGTAATAAGTAGAAAAGGATAACCATTCTTTGTATATATCTTTAAACACGCCATTGTTTTTCTCCAGGCAGAAGGTGTTCTTTCTCACCTTTAGTCCCTCATTTCTTGCCACCAATCTCACTAATTTTATCTTTCCAGATCAACTTCTGTGTAATACACATAGATATTCTATATATGCAAGATATATTATGTATGTGTATATTGTATTCAGTAACTCTAGTATAAAGGTATAAAAGGGCTTTGAGTTGAATAGACTTTCAGAA